GGTCATTTTCTAACCTTTCAAGACTAACCGGCACAATCGTTTCCGATCTCGGCGGAAGAACAATCTTCTCAAGGCTGTACACGTTCCCTGGTAACGCTCCTTCCACAAAAAGTTCCTCTTGTCCACATTTCAAGACACCTTGCTTAACGTCAATCGCACAACAATTCTTCCTCATGAAGTCTAGGCCCAGGATGCAGTCGTCCATTATATCAGCCAGGATGACATTATGCAGGTAGATCATGTTGCCTAGCTTCAACTCCATCTCTTTCTCTCCACGGACGGGTATACGCTGACCGGTGGCTGTTACCAAATTAATGCGTTCTCGGTTGTATGCGGAGTCCCCAAGGAACTGACTTATTAGTTGGGAACTAACAACCGTACGAGAGGCTCCAGTGTCTATGGTCAGTTTACACGGCATTCCGTTGACCTCGCCCTTGATGATTAGACTGTTCCCATCGTGGGTTTGTGAGATCGAGATCCTTGGGGCTCTTTTAACATCAGCCAGCACCCGCCCCGCAGTTCTGGCTTTTACTCGTTTCCCTGCTGCTGCTGGGCGGTGCTGTTTGCCGCACTACCCTCCTGATATCGTTCACCTTCCCTTTCTGCGGTTCGCTTAGGGCAGCTGGATCGAAGATGGCCCTTTTCCCCACAGCCATAGCACCTAGGGCTGTATCCTTTGTTGCGGTCGCGAACTGTAGCTGCTGCAACCTCCCTGACGCGATGGGAACGACGATCCTGCCGCACGGCTTCCACCTCCAGTGCATGGGCCAAGGCGTCCTTAAGCGTCTCGTGGTGCCCGAGCCTCACAGCAGCTCTGACTTCCAGGTCGCGGATGCCGTCGATGAATGTCTGCACCAGGTTCCCTTCAATGAGCGCAGGTACAGACCGGTATGCTTTTCGCACCAGCTTCTCCACCTCTAGAGCCCACTCCTGCAGGTTTTCGTTGATGCGCTGCACGCGATCTTTAAGCTGCGCACGAAAGACGTGTTCCAGGTGAGCGTCACCATATCTCGCCTCCAACGCCTCAAGGAGTTGCTCATAAGTCACTTCCTCACCGAGAGCTTCCAGAACTGTTAAGGCCTGGTCGCGCAGGCCTAGTATGAGAGCAGTCATGGCCTGACTTTTATTCCAGCCGTTCGCCTTCATAACAGCCTCGAACTGGATTTTGTAGGCTGACCAGGAAGAGGTACCGTCGAACGGTGGCACCTTGAACCCACGTAGCGAAGGTGTTGTAGCTACTACGGGAGCTGTAGCTCCCTCTCCAAGTTTGAGTTCGTCCAGTGATTTCTTCATGTCAGCCATTACGTTGTCAACCCGATTGTTTACTTGGTCGATTCGGGTTTCAGCTTTCGCGATTTGAGTTTCAGCTTCCGACAGGCGGTTGTCATGCTGAGCAACCCTATCCTTCACCTCCTTTATCTCCTTCCCGAAGGTAGCGTGAAGGTCCTTCATGAGGAGCATCTGCTCTTCCAACCGACGGGCCTGTTCCTCCTGTCCGCCCCGCAGCTGCTCTTCCAATCGGCGTGCCTGTTCCGCCTGCTGGCGAGCCTATTCCTCCTGTCGGCGAGCCTGTTCCTCCTGCTGCTCTTTCAACAAACGGGCCTGTTCATCCTGTCCGCCCCGCAGCTGCTCTTCCAACCGACGAACCAGTTCCTCCTGTCGGCGAGCCTGCTCCTGCAGCATCACCATCAGAGCACCTAAGTCAGGTGCTGCAGATGTAGCAGCTACTGACGGGCCTGCAGCCGGCGGCTGACCCTCCGCCGTCTGCGGCGTTGCACCACCAAATCTTCTTTGGTCCGTCTCCTGCTGGCGTTGACTTCGGGTACGGACACCCTCCGTTTCCCTAGGTAAAATCGGCATGATTTTATCCCACTTCTGACACCAATTGTTACGAGCTTGAGGTTCGTGACAAAAAAATTGCCGATAGAATTACCTAAATTAACACTTTAATTTTCTTTACACCAATTAAAATTTAAACACTAATAATTAATCACACTGATTCACTTTATTCCGCTCCGAAGCTTCGCTTGTCTCGCCAACTTCAATACTTCCCCTATCGCATCTTGCAGCGCCTATTTATATAAATTAGCACGGAAATATCCAGAATATTCAAGTAAACACGCGCAAGGTACCGAGAGTTCGAGTTTCAACTAGGCGCTAGTGCCGTCGACTAAGGCGCGTAACAATACCATAAGAAGAACGAAAATTGCAAAACAGTTAGCATACAGGGATAGATTAGTTGTTCAAAAATGCAAATAATTTTATTTTGAACAGATACATTCAAAAGATTTTTCATGACATCCAGACTCCCAAAGGTCTGTTTATAAAATTTCGCGCGCTCCTTTTTGTTGTAAATCATATTGCCTTTCGCTACAAAGTATTTCCCTGATCAGTGGGACGGACGGAGAGGGGGCGCAACGCGCACCCACACATGCGCACTAGGTTAGCCGCTGCTATCTATTTATGGTTGTAATACTTACATATTTACATCTTTATTTAGAAAAATTGCTTCCTTTTGTTCGTGTCCACTTGCTGAAGCCGGGATGAATATAGCTGGTAAAATGTACCCATAAAGTTGTTGAAGCACATATACTTTCGATACAGAACTTTCGATACAGGTAGTATCGAAAGTTCTGTATCGAAGGTATTTAACTACATTAGGTACTTAACTACTTTAATTTGCCAACTAACGAAAGCATCTCATTGATAAGCACGATTGTTTGTTGATTGTTGAAATTTAATTAGAATAGGTAATTTTTAGATTTTCGATAATCGTGCTTACGTATAGGAATTTCATATCCTAATATACCTAATGTAATTTTATGTAAGTACATAAGAATCTAAGAAGGGCAGTCAATGATAAATAAAATTTGTTTTGTAAGTTGTTTTTTTTTTAAAAACACTTTAACACAACAAAAACATGAAACTGAGAAGAAGCACCCGATCTGCCGAAACAAACTCAGAGAGGTTAGTCCAGGTATTACATTGGTCATGTCATACGAGGACGAGGCAGGTGGCTAATGGCCCTTTGAAGAAAGAACCACACAGATGTGAGTGGACAACTAAGTACTTTTTAGGATTCCTACCCGAAGGGTAACCAGCAGGGCCCTATTACGAAGCCTCCGCTGTCCGTGTGTCTGTCTGTCGGCGGGCTGTTTCTCATGATCCGTAATAGGTAGATGGTTGTAATTTTCACAGAACGTGTATTTCTGTTCCCGCTATAACAGCAAATAGTAAAAATAAATTTGAAATTAAAGGGTTTCCTACTAGAAAAAGAAGCTCGGAAGTCGGATTCGCACTTGGCAAATATTTGTTTATATTTAACCTTACCTCAGATATACTCATATTTTTTATATATAATTTACTATACTACTATATAAGCTACTACTAAATAAAATAGAAGTAGCTTTGCTATGGTAATATAGTATACATTTTGGTTTAGATTTAATTTATTACAGAATAATACGAACTATACAAAAATTAAGGAGTGCATCAACCTACCTCAAATATTGGGTTATGAATACAGATAAGTACACATAAGATTTAGTTTCTAAGTTGTACATATTTTATAGCCTTCGTTATCAATAGCATAAACAGGCCAAGCCCTCTAGCTTACAAACGTTTCGTAACGAATCTCTTTCTACAATCGCGCCTTTTATTTGCTTGGACTCACCACCTGACTAGTTCAGTGATGTCATTCCCATACAGTGTTTAGTTTTCAACTAGCGTTATCCACTATCATAAAAAAATCTAAATTTTATTTATATTTCGCTAATTGTGTCTGTACTGTTAATTTGATTTACAATCGATCTCTAAATTGTAGTTTTCTTCTAATTACTTACCTTGTCCTATTCCGTTTAGATACGTTACTATTTTGATAGACGTTTGTGCTTTGACGTTTTGAAGGCCATATATATATTTGTTCCGTGTGGGATTCGAACCCGCGGCCTCCAGCGCAGCCACTGCGCCAGGGAGCTTTCAATTGTGGTTTGAGTTTATGTCGTCATTCAAAAAAGAATTGCAATATGTAGGATGACGCCGTCGCTTTGCGTCACTCAGGAGTGCGCATGTGTGTGCGCACTAGCTTCTTACTGCTCATCACAGCGTCTATCCCTTTCGCACGTGATGTCGGCTGAGATAGCATGCATTTTAACCCCGCCTACCGATTAGTTCGAGCTATCGACTAGGGCCACCTTAATCAGTGATACAGAATACTAATATCCTTAGGCGGCCACCAACTTGTATAAACTGAAACTAGCGAGTCCCGCCTTTCAGGTGTATAGTAAGTACTCTGTGGTCCCACCTTATGACTACGTTAGTACTCTTATAAGTTTGTGTTTTGACGTATTGATGGGGAGTTTTGGTGGGAACTTGCTTGGCCGTCGACTCGACGTAATATTATAGCTCCTGTATTATATATTTGATATGTTTTATATAATGGTTTGAAGTGGATTTTAATTTTTAAAAATATGTGATTTTGTGAATTAAGTGTTTGCGCGTGTAAACTATTAGAGAAAACGACGAAACAAGTGCTTCGATGTTCATATAAACCTCAAGTTATTTTGATCGCTTAGACGCTTTATGAACTTGAGTAACTTATCATTAACTATCCACTGGGTTGAGCTGTCGTCACAATCTCCAAAAACTTCACAATGTGGCGCATCAGTATATTATGAAGAAAAAAACAATCTATAAAAATCAAGATCCCGAAAGAAATGATAGGCTCAGAAAAGCTAGAACCCAGAGCCGTAAAGCCAGTTAAATAAAAAAATACTTGCTACATATTTATTTATCTATAATGAAAATTGAAAATATATAATCACAAACTAATAAGTAAATAATATTTATTTATTTTAATAAGTAAGTGCTAAAGCAGATGAACATTGATTTTATATCAGAGAAATAAAAACAGAAGAAGCATGTTGTTATTATTTATTTTACAATTAAATTTCGTTACATCTTTTACTTACGACAGTGGTTATATGGTGTATTGTCCATGTATGGGTAAGTTGCTTAGCAAACATACACAAAAAATATATCATATCTAAACAAAAATTACTGCATTAAAAAGTAGTTAGTAATGGTGTTTATTATTAAATTGTTTAAAGCGATATGACCACCGGTTGTAGTTCATACGTTTTCCCTTATTGTAACAACTTTGTTTTAATACATAGTCATATTATATCTATCTATCCATCTACTTTACGTTGAAATATTGATTTGTTTTCTTTTACAGGCAGATTTGGAAATCAAGCAGATCATTTTTTAGGTGCTTTAGCATTTAGCAAAGGTGTAAATCGTACCCTTGTTTTGCCCCCATGGGTTGAATATCGGTTTGGAGAAGCAAAATCAATTCAAGTGCCATTCGACACTTATTTTGAGGTAGAATCTTTAAATTTATATCACCATGTTATCACTATGGAAGAGTTCATGAAAGATATAGCTCCTGTTGTGTGGCCGCCACATAAAAGAATATCTTTTTGTTATGTTGAGAGAAATGGTGAAAAACTAAATAGTTGTAATGCAAAGTCGGGAAACCCTTTTGGGCCATTTTGGGATACATTTAATATAGACTTTAAAGGTTCTGAATTCTATGGACCTTTAAATTATGATGCTCATAACAAAGAAATGATGAATAAATGGAAACAAAAGTATTCATTGAATAATTGGCCGGTCTTAGCATTTACAGGTCAGTAAATTCCTACCAGATAGCATTAAGAGGTTCAAAATTTATTCATTAAGACTACAAATTATTGTCATAAAGCAACAAGGGCTGCCGACGTATCTGTCTGGATTAGCCATATGTAGGCGTTCCCCTATATGTGACACAGCGGTCCTATGTGTACAATAAAACTAGTTTCAACTCTACTGCTGACTAGTATAAATTTAGTTGCGCAACTGAATCAAGGTCCTTCATAAATGCCAAATTGTTCAGGTTTTTGCTGCAAAAAGAGATTTTCCACATCAAATTTACAAAAAGATAGAGTTACCTTTTATATGTAAGTAACAAAATTAGTATTATTTATTTATTTTTAATTTAAAAATTACAATAATAACTTTGTTTCCATAGTAACGGTTGTGTTGTTTCGGATTTGTTTTGTTAAATGTTGAATTTAAATTTTATGTGCGAGTTTTGTAGTAACAGGAATTTTTTTGTGTAAGAGTCTGAAAAAGTATGTGTGGCACAGATTTTTCCCAGCAAATAATGACAGAGAGTTTGGTATCGGAAAATAACACTATAGCTTCTCACCTCCTGTGTTGCTGTATGTATTACATAGTCAGCGATGATGACCTTCAGACCCAATATTGACTATGAAGTTGAAGTTGTCAACTGAAATGTTATAATATGCAGTGGTGGTCATAGAATTAAGAATGATTAATGGTATGAAGTCAATACTATGTTTTCACCATAACTTCAGTGCACAATTTGTTTCTAAACATACTGTGATATTGTTGTAGAATATTTTTGTGACTGATCTGTATTATAAGTGTAATAATTTTGTCAAAATGAATTTTTGTTTTCCTATTTATTAAAGTATAGGGACTCATAAAGTTGCCAGAATACTGTCTGGACAAATAAGTAATTAAGAATGAAAATATTTTGTTCTTTTTTTATCATTTTTTTAAATAAAGGTGATAAACGAGCACACAGGCCACCTGATGATAAGTAGATGCTGTGGCCCATAGAAATCTGTATTTATCCTCAATTAGGTTTCAAAATGCATTTGCATTGTCACCTCTTAGGACCGAGATGCAATGCCATGTTTATAATAAGTAATCTGCATGGTTGCATTGAACACGAGTAACCCGGGTTTGATCCCTGCCGGCACCAATGTAATTGTTATATGCAATTTTAAGTGCTGTTTTATCACATGCTTGGCGGTGAAGGAAAACATCGTGAGGAAACCTACATGTCTGAGGAATAAGATAAAAAAATATTTCGAAGACATGTGAAGTTCGCCAACATGCATTGGGGCAGCGTGGCGGACACTTCCTTGCCCTAAACCCCTCTCAGAAATGAGAGGAGCCGGAGGCCTGTGCCCAGCAGTAGGACGTATATAGGTTGTAACTTTACAACTTTACTTTATAGTTGTATAAAAAAATTTGGATCACTTGCATTGCTCAAAAACTATGGTGTACCAGGTTGTGAAGCATTTTAAAAAACCATATCCCAGATAGATGAGAGGATTTAAGAATAGTTTACCTTGTTAATCGGGACCCAAGCCAAGAGAGCATCGTGGAGGAAGCTATGTGAGGAAGTTGAGTCTGCCTCGCAGTGCAAGACTACTCTCAATTCGTTCGAAAGATAAACCAAATCAAACAGCCCTGATCAGTGTCATTAACAGGATCTAAAAAGCATTGGAGGATAAACAAAGAGCTCTTTGTGCCTTTCTAGATACTGAAGATGCCTTCGACAGATGCCCCACATCACTGTTTATTGGGGTCTGACATCTAAAAATGTTGACCTCACAACCATCAGGTGGGTGAAGTCGATACTCTCAAACAAAAAGGCAAAAATAGCGCTGTTTCAAACTTCGATTGAGGTTGCAACTACAAAGGGCTGTCTATATGGAGGTGTTTTGTCACCCCTTCTTTGAACTCTTGCGGTTGACCAACTATTGTACAAGATGGTAGACCTTTGCTTGACACACTAGGTTATGCTGATGACCTTGCGATCATTGTGAGGGGCTTTTGCCAAAGTACTTTATCATTAATCATACAAAGAGCTCTAAACACCATAAATAACTGGTGTAGGGATAACAATTTATCAGTTAATGCTGATAAAAACTGTCATAATACCCTTTACGAAAAAGAGACGTTTGGAGAAACTAGTCACACCAAAACTCAATGGTAAAGAAGTACCATTCTACACTGAAGCTAAGTACTTGATCAAATCACAATCGACCAAAAACTAATGTGGAACTCTCACCTTAGCAACGTATGCCTTAAGGCATAAATTGCTTTAGGTACGTGCAGTCGTTTGGTCGGGAATAACTCAGTATGAGTATCCTATGGTGGTACAGCAGCACAGTGAGGTCGATTCTCACATACGCCTCCACTGGCTAGTGCAACAAGGTCAACCAAAAGACCTCTGGGGACAGACTAAATAGTCTACAAGGAACTGCCAGGAATGGCAGTGGCGATGCGATCATCCCTTGGAGCTCTTAATGCACTTCTATGTCTAACGTCCCTTAATCTTTATCTAAACAAGGAGGTGAGGGCTAGTTTGTATAGGATTAACGCCCAGGGTGGATTGAGCTTGCTTTTCTACAGATTGAGATCCATGTTTGACTCGATTAAAGAAACACTGGTCTTATGCCTGATTTTAGATAGCATGCGTCCACTATACATTTTTAATAAAAAGTAGGTAGTGGAACTACTCTCTAGCGAAGACTGGCTAAATGGCCAGGTCATCTCTGAAGTTGGTAGCCTCATATGGTATACCGATGGGTTGAAAATGAGCCTCGACATAGGCTTTGGAATTTATGGGGAATGCCCCAAATTCAAACTTAAGATGAATTTGGGTGGATGCACTTCTATCTTCCAGGCAGAAATTTTCACCATACTTCAGCAAAAATCTGCAAAAGCACTGTCAACCATAAAATTTATATGAAGTCTGATAGTCAAGCAGCACTGCTAGCAGTCAAACTTAGTGAACTCGAAGCTAGTTAGAGACTGCGTGAACTGTCTAAACGCCTTGGGATGTAACAACAGGGTCGTCTTAAGATGGGTTCTGGGTCACGCGGATATTGTAGGTAATGAAATTGCTGACAAGCTCGCACTAGAGGGTTCAAAGAGTACACAATTTGCACCCGAGCCATTTTGTGGAATCTCCAAAAGTCTACCCCGATTGACCCTCGAAACTCTTTATCACAGTAAATCACTTAAGATCTGGTCTGACACACCAGGCTTAAAACTTTCTAAAACCTTAATCCGGGCTTTTGATCGTAAATTCGCATCAGAAGCCCTGGGAATAAGTAAAAATAAATTGCATTCTGTTAAAAGCCCTAACTGGTCACTCTTGTCTTAAAACGTAAAAAGCACTTGTCCATCCTGGGACTAAGCAATTCAAGCATGTGCCGGTTCTGTTCCCTAACCGAAGAAACGCCTCTGAACATCCTAACTGATTGCGGACCCTTAATGCGCAAACGTAACACTCATCTGGGAAACTATGTACTCCGCCCAGAAATGAAAATGCTCGCAGCTAAAAAACTCATTCTATTCATTGAAGACATAGGGCTTAACAGTGAACTATGGCCATAGCAGCGATCACAATAGATCTTTTAGGTTGCAGTGATACTGTATTTTTTCCCTAGATCTGCATAGCTGCTCGCATATAATAAAATAATCAGGACTCGATTAAACGGATCAAATGAAATAAAAATGAAGTTTTTAGTGAGAATAACCCTAGGGTAATCTTTGCGCGTACCTTTCAAAAACTGCTAGTGTGGGTACAGTTGTTTAGGTGAGTAACGAGGATAGGGGCACAGTTAACTGGTAACTGTATTAGACTGGCCACCGAACAGTCCAGATCTTAATCCGATCAAGTATCTTCGGTGTTAAGTCAACCAGACCGTATAGTGACTAATGTCACTACACGGTCATAGGCTGTACGACTGAAGGCTGTAGGCTGAAGGCGACTTGTTCTTCGAAGAGTGGAATTCTACTTCAGTTGAAACCTGTCGAGAGTTGATAGCGTCATTGCCGCGCCGCGGTCAAGCAGTTATCCATAGCCAAGGACATACCACTAAATATGAATTACTAATTTATTTTTAAAGTTTACAATTAATTAAAAAATGACACTCGTTTTTTTGATTGATAAGCGAACAATATTTAAATGACAATATATTGACATACAATACAAATTATTTCCTAATTTCTTTTTCGATTATGTTAACCTTGTATATACATATACTAACTGGCAGGTATAGGCAATATTTTTAGGAAGTAATACTTTTTGTTATGAACATTTAAATTTCAAAATGATGTCTCTGTATGAAGCATTCTTAATTCTTTTACCACCACCGGATTCCTAATTTCTTTTTCTTCTGTGCAAGCAGTTTACATCATAGAATACTATAGTACACAATAGAATGGCTGTCAACCTTATTTTGTACGAGTTGTAGGCGTCGCCGGGAGCATACATACAAGCAAATACGTCGTATTATCAGTTAATCACTACTACAAACCCGATTCGCTGTGTTGACAGACGGATTTTAATACATATTTATTTGTAAATAGCATGCAATTTGGCATTTTCTAAATAATTTGCATGCGAAATTTGGAAACGATTGTAACGTCAAAACACATCTCGTTGACATTTATACGTGTGAATTGACGTGTTGGTGGTATTTTAGTGGCTACATGGGCTCCGCCCCCTCCCCCGTTCTATTATGTATGTATTATAGTATTCTATGGTTTACATACATAAATAACACAAGGACTCACATCCAGAACCGGAACTATTATTTGTAGGCCATACAAATACTTGTTCCGTGCGGGATTCGAACCCGCGGCCTTCAGAGCCGTAACTCCTTCCTTCGGCCTTCAGAGCCGTTACCAGCAACTCATGTTATAGCACTCGCTTGTAGACCATGTGGTAGTGAAAAAGTGAAGTATTTACCTAAAGCCATTTTACACTCATAATTTAACACATTGAAATTTTAATAATAAACAATTCAATAATGTACGTAAGAAAATAAAAAATGGAGACAACATCGACAAAAAAAACAAAAGGAATGCATTACGTCTTAAACATTTTATAACTTACTTTCAGACTTAATTATTCAACAGGTAATAATAATAAGCACAGCTTGTTACATAGTCTATATAATAACAGTACACTACACTAGTGGCTACCTTAACGTAATATAATATTATATTGAATCATGTCGACGGATTTTAATAATTGTTACCTACCGGATTAATTATCAACCCTACGAAAGAGTACCGTGTCCATTTTCAATGCACGTGAATTTTTAGGTTATCAGTTGATTCCCAAAAAACCGAAAGAATCGAGATTAAAATCAAATTCAATTCTCGGGGATTTAAAGTGTATTTCCGGTCAAGTTATTAAATAAAAATCTTGTACCTGGTTAGAATAAAAAAAGCAGTGAAGCATTCACGCAAGAAAAACCAAAGGCCATATTATATTAAAATGAGGCCATATAATGAGGCTTTCGTTCAAACGTAAACTCTTTTGTCAAACCCCAACCATCGTTTATTTCTAGTTTGTAGCGAACTTGGCCCTTTTTTCACATGTAGTGTATGTTCTTGGTGGGATTATAATATTTATAAAACATTTTCGATTAATTACTCTTTCGATTACTACAGGTCAATAAACTACCTGCTTTTGTCAAGACATGATCAGATGCGTATTTTCAATTGAAATATTTCTATATATTTACTGTAATAACATTTTATTTGGCTTGCAGGTGCTCCAGCTAGTTTCCCTGTCCAAAAAGAAAATGTTCATCTACATAAATATTTGAAATGGAATCGTGACATAGAAAACAAGTCGAGATCTTTCATCAAAAAGAATATGAGTGGTGGTGGTTTCATAGGAATTCATTTAAGAAATGGCCAAGATTGGGTCAAAGCTTGCCATCATGTAAAAGATAGTCCAAGATTATTTGCTGCTCCCCAGTGTGTTGGTTATAAAAATGAAAGGGGGTTATTAACTCAATCAATGTGCCTTCCTGAAAAGTCTGAAATCATAAAGTAAGTCCATTATATTATGCTTATTCAGGTCATAAGTTCTGTCAAAAACTTTTTATAAAATTGATCATACAATTTTTGATAATTAAGTATATAGAAATTATATATGAAATGAAATTTAATTAAGAAAATAATTCTATTTACATTATTCAAAATGCACTTCCCTATTTTGAATATATGCCCTTAATCGACGCGGCCAATCATCAATCGCAGCACGCACCACACTCATATCTATTTCTACCGCTGCTTTAGTCAAAGATGCTCGGAAAGATTCCAAATTCTGATGAGGTTTAGCGCAGACTTTCTCCTCCAAATGTTGCCTTAACTTATAATCCAGGGAATATCTTAAATCTGGACTAGAAGAGGGTCAGTCTTCATGTCCGATAAAGTCAATTCCATGGGCGGTCAACCAGTTTTGCGTGCTTCGTGCCCTATGAGCTGGTGCAGAGTCCTGTTGGAATATCCAATGTCTGTTTTTGAACATTGTTTGAGAAAGAGGTTCCACTATGTTTGTTAGGACGGTATTTTGGTACACCTCGGCACTGGTTTTTACACTTTTTCCACAGAAAAACACACTCAGTTAAGCCTGAATATGAGACTCCAAGCCAAACCATGAGTGACGAAGGATAATATGCACGTTGAACCCTCGGAATACGCGTGCGTGCGTCTTCACTGCTGTGGGCATACACCTTATCATTTTGTTTATTATAACTCTTCGATGTTAAAACAATTTTCGTCCGAAAACAAAATTTCGCGATATTTTTTTCTATCTATCCAACCTAATTTTTTTCAAACGCTCGTTCAAAAAATGTCCGGTCTTCTTACGATAAGCTTTTGACCGTGGTTCTGCTTAGGCCCATCTGAAGTGCTAAGATTTTTTGTTAACGAACAGGATTTCGTTGGATTCGCGCCTTGCTTTGATGATGGCGGGTGTTCTAACTGTACGACTTCGGCCAGTCCTCTTACAACCTTCGAAGCTTGAATCTTCAATGAATCGTTTGATAGTGCGATAAACAAATCGTAGGGCTAAAACGCCTGGGAGGGCTTAATAACTATTGGTAACAATTAAAACCTACAATTTAAGACACAAACTATATAAATATAATACTTACTATATTGAGTAAGATATTTGTGATTTTATATGATTTTATATTGATTTTAGATTTCATTTTATTAAGAATTGTAGCTAAGTTCTATATAGGTAATGCGAATATTATACATAATATCGAATATATTTATTATTTCAATATAATATAATTTAAATAATGAGGTCGGACGGTATGCATGGTGAAGTGGGAGAGGGGAGGGGGGGGGGGGGTGTAAAAGGAAAAGAGATGGGTAGAGAAGTCTTTCCTGTACGCTCACGTATATATAAAGCGTTGTGTCTTGCATCAAAAAAGTTTATAACCCCACTGTGTCTCGCGCGTCAAGCACGTGTAAACGTATAGTGAAGTTTTTGTGTGTGTAATTAGTCTACAATGGCACGTACTAAGCAGACCGCTCGGAAATCCACCGGTGGCAAAGCGCCGCGTAAACAGCTAGCCACCAAAGCGGCACGTAAGAGCGCACCAGCAACCGGCGGTGTTAAGAAACCCCATCGCTACAGGCCCGGTACCGTCGCTCTCCGTGAGATTCGTCGCTACGAGATCGTTCGGCAAGCGCAAACATTATATTTTTAAAATTGGTAAAGTTCATCTAGCCATTATTAAAATTTTTTAAATAATAAGGTTTTGACAGAATTTATGACCCAGCAAAGAAGTATATTTGTATTTCTTCTTCATATATTTAGTGTCTTTTGTCATTTTACGATTTTCTTGGAGCTCTACTCTGACCTCAAAAGAAGTTGAAGGCTGGATTAGGACCATACTATTCACAATGTGCTATTCTTCACAGTTTATGCATTTGTGACGTGACAAAGATCACTTATTATTTGACCCACTAAATAGGAAATGTAACGGTTTCCTAGCAAAGTTAAAAGCCTAGTGACTGCTTAAGCCGCTGGAATCTGATGGCATCTTAAGTTCTGTTTATGTTGGTTAAAATATTTAAATTAATTCACTTTTCTATATGTGTTAGAGACGTAAGAGAACAATATAATTACCCCAGCTCCTCTTGTGGGCGTCCATTATTAGACTATGTAAAGTGCTAGAAAGATGCATTGATTAAACAACAAAGGGAATATAATATAGCACTTAGCCGCAAAAATTGGAAAACGAAAACTACCTTTAACTAACGCACTTTCATTTAGCTGCGATGGGTGCTTTTGTCTCGTCCACACGAACGCTTTTCTGAAAACTTACTTAGAATTCATTAAATAGTCATCGAAATGCCTTTCAGCTCGTTTTACAAATGTGATAATCACTCGGACAAAACGAAAGTCTCGCTTTAAAACTTCTCAAAAAACCAGAGTCAGTTTTCATGTGTTTATAAACAAAATTATCGAAATAAATTGAGTCAGACTTGTCATTGTGTAAGCAGAATAACACTACAGCCAGACTACTTTCTTTTTCCAGACAAATAAAACGAGCTATGAAGAAACTAAACGATATAAAATATATTTTCGTCGCATCAGATTCAAATCATATGATTGATGATTTGAAAACTGCATTACGTCAATTTGATGTTAGTGTTGTAAAACTACAACAACCAAACCCTCATCTGGACTTAGCTATATTGGGGCAGGCCAATTATTTTATTGGAAATTGTGTTTCATCATACTCTGCTTTTGCTAAAAGAGAAAGAGATGTCAAAGGATTACCTTCTGAATTTTGGTCGTTTCCGAGTCCGAAAAAGATAAGACATGAAGAACTATGATGAATAAGATGGATTATTTATTTTGAAGTTGTCAAAGAACATTAAAAGTAAATGTTCACACACACGCACAAGAGATAGAGAGAGAGAGAGGAGTACTTTTCGTAGCTTAAATAACGAAAAATAGGAAGGGTTCTCCTTTGAATATGTTTTTGCATGTGTTTAAAAAATAAATACCAATATTTTAAAATTTCATTTTTTAATATGACCTTTCTTCATAATTGAGGTAATGAATAAGAGCGGGTACACATTGGGCGCTTTGAAACGCACGATTTACTAACGCGCGTTTTGAGATCCAAAAGTCCCTATTGAAGTGTACACATGCAAGCGCGCGCTTCTGATCAAGCGCGCGTCGGACGCGCGCTCTCAGAATTTCGTTGGAACGCGCGTTACGCGGGCGTCAGCTGCGCGCTTGTAGATACATGCACCGCCATTTTGCTGTACATTTGATCGCGCGCTTTCGTGTAGGGTGCACGTATATCATGGAGATCGAACACTTCGATACAGATTTATTTATCGACGAAATCCAAAAGCGTCCAGCTATAAGGGACATGCAAAGTCCAGATTATAAAAATAAAATATTAAAAAAACGTAATTGGGAGGAAATAGTTGAAATTTTTAGTGACTGTGAAGACAATTTGGAAAAGAAAAAACTGTTGGGTGAGTATAATTATTTATTGATGTTTTCTATAATTATATCATGTTGTTTTGCCACTGTAATTTTCCCTCGTTCACAAAATAATTGGCAAATTTTTCTCTTGCTGTTCTAGCACATAAGCTGCCTCGTGGTAAATTTTCTAAATGTATAGATTGTAGAGGTGAAACATAAAGTGTATCTTCATATCTGTAACCATCGCACATTCGAACATAATTATGTAGTACTGTGCAAGCTTTGATGATACTCTCCGCGAAATCTATGTTTACATCTATCGGTCTATGAAATATTCGCCATTTATTGCTCATTATTCCGAAAGTACATTCAATATAGCGCCTTGCTCTCGATAATCTGTAATTGAAAACTTTTTTTGTGTGTGTGAGTTGTGTTCCTCCATACGGCCGCATCACATTCGACATAATTCCAAATGCTTCATCGCCGACGAACACATGAGGCAATGGAGTTCTATCGATATTTGATATAGGCTTGGGGTTAGGAATGTTTAAATTCACGATCCGTTTAAAAAATTCGGAATTTTTAAAAATAGCAGAATCACTGGTTTTGCCATAGGATCCGACATCAACGTATACAAAACAATAATTTGCATCACAAACTGCTAGTAAGACTGATGAGAAGTATGTTTTATAATTGTAAAAAAAGCGACCCTGTATGTTCTGGTTGTATTAGCTCAATATGTTTCCCGTCAATCGCACCAATACAATTTGGGAAGTTAGCGTATTTCTTAAAACCTTCTACTTCTTTCCACTTTTCTGTTGTCATTTCAGGCATAGATGTAAACTTCAATTTGCTCCATAGTACTTTACAAACTTGTTCCACTATCTTTATAATTGTCGATTTTCCAAGACGGTATCCGTAATGCAAATCAGCGAAAGAGCAGCCTGTGGAAAGTATCTGTCAAAATAAAAATGGTTTAATGGAAAAGCATTCGGGACAATTATCTTAGGGAGTCTAAGATGCAAAAAAAGCTTCCATCTGGATCTGGATCTTCCAAACATACGCCATATGTGTATTACAGGAAATTACAATTTCTTGCGAATTCTACAGCATATAACGACACAGAGAGCAATTATCAATCTTCTGGCACAACTGGTTCAGATGTAGATAATATTATAGACAATGCAGACTTGATGCCACCTCCTAAAGATCAAATGGAAGGCCCAAGGAAAAGACAGAAAATAAATGCTGTAGATAAACAAATAGTCGACGTTTTACAGAAAAGATTAAATGCAAGGGAACAAAATGAAATGGGGCGACTAACTAAAGAAGACGATGATAAACTATTCTGTTTATCATTGTACAGTGAATTAAAAAAGTGCCCGAAAATCGACGCTTAACTACAAAGATTGAATAACTCAATGTCATTAAAGAAGCACAGAATTATCATCAATCATTACCACTAGAAACTAATCATCACCAATACACATATTCTACACCGACATATTCTGGATATACTACTGCTAGACCCTCAACAACACAACAGCGGTCTACCACGCCGCCACCACCGCCGTCATCATGGTCACCGTCACGTTCAGCCTCCAGCCAAGATTCGGACAACTTAGATTTATTTGAATAAACAAATATACTTACCTTAACGTTATCACGAGTTTTTCTTCTGCGGAAATCAAGTCTCTCAAAATCGTTGAATCACCAGTAATATCTACTTTAATAACATGGAGTAAGTCATCAAATGATTTTATGGACATTCTAAAATAATTAAAAAACTTAGGTTCATATTGCCTTAATTTTGGATACAATGTTACAAACATTCCATGCGTCAGTCTATCTCGTAATATTGGGTGCACCCAATATTCTCTTTGCCTCTGCCGTCGTCTTTTATAGCGACGGTATAGAAGCCACACACAAGCGATCACTTCGACGTCCATTTCCGAACTGAACTAGTAGTATGGACACCTTGGTAACGCTCGTTAAACCTATAGAAAGATCAACTAAACATTGACTAAACAACTTTTCTTGAAGGTCCCTAAGAGGAACCTTCAAGGATCTATAAAATCGGTCCAAAAAGTCTGGTGGTAGTCGATATTCCACGAGGAAGTTGTGAAAGAAAGAAAACTTGTAGTAAATCGTATAGGACCGCCAATCATCCAGATTGTATGGATGGCATCGTGAGTTTAATCGCGATGTGCGATGGTAAAATTTAGCGGCTGGAATTAGTCCGCGTGGAAAAATTTCTTTGAGCAGTCCCTGTGGCAGATGCGATAAAATAATAATAATAAATCTTTATTAGCATAAGAGTTACAATATTTTTGAAGCCCCTGATTCCTGAGCTACGATTCCTATTTAAGATTTAACAAATTTTTAGATGTTGATTGATTTGTTTTATACTAATATCGATTCAGTTTGCTCATAATCTAATCCTAATAGCCAACTCCTAACATTAAATTTCATTTTACTAGTAGTTAAGGGATGTATATTTGTTAGCTTATTAATTTTGTGGTATAAAAATATATCCTTATAAGCATGTTGCCGTCTAGCAGAAGCTCTTAGACATGTAATAGGTCTGTATACATTTTTATAACCCGGTGTTTGTTATAATTCGCGGTATTATATGATGCTTAGTAATTAAATCCAAAATGTACAGTTGCCTCGAAGTTAATACTCGACATTTCTCATACAATTCTGCAGTGGGAAATCTGTGTGGCCTAAAGGTCATGACTTTTAATAGGGATTTTAGTGCCCTTTCCAGGTGGGTTAGAAAGGTCTGACAGGCTCCTCCCCAGACGTTAATCATAACATAATATAGGATTAATAATAAATATATAAACGGGTACTTCTATACAAAATCTATAAGTAAATAAAATATTATGAGACAAAAATAAAATAACACAATACATAAAATACATTATACAAAATATTACTTATAAAGTGAAAGAGAAAAAAATAACCAATAGTCGGATAGTCAGGTGGTATTATTCTTACGACAGAATTCTCGAACTAGTCTTTTAAAATAATTCTTGTTAGTAGTTTTCTTGATATCAATGGCGAGTACATCACTCACCTTCGATTTGCCGACGATATAGTCCTTATGGCAGAATCGCTGGAGGACCTTAGCACTATGCTCAATGACCTCAATGGTGTTTCCCAACGGATAGGTCTTAAGATGAACATGGACAAAACAAAGATCATGTTTAATGTCCATGTCACACCTATGCCGATAGTTGTTGGGAGCACTATGCTCGAAGTTGTTGACGAGTACGTTTACCTGGGAGAAATAGTCCGACTAGGTAATCCAACTTCGACCGAGAGGTCAATCGACGGATTCAACTCGGCTGGGCAGCGTTCGGGAAATTACGACACATCTTCACGTCCACCAGTGCGTGTTGCCAGTGATGACTTACGGATCAGAGACGTGGTCCTTCACCGCTGGCCGTATGAGGACGCTCAAGGTCGCTCAGCGAGCTATAGAGAGGGCTATGCTCGGAGTTTCTCTGCGTGATAGACTCAAAAATGAGGATATCCGCAGTAGAACCAGAGTGACCGGCATAGCCGAACGGATTAGTAAGCTGAAGTGGCAATGGGCCGGCCATATAGCTCGAAGAACCGACAACCGATGGGGAAAAAAGGTTCTCGAGTGGCAGCCTCGTACCGGTAGTTGTAGTGTAGGGCGACCCCCACTAGATGGAGTGACGACCTGGTAAGACATGCAGGAAGTCGATGGATGCAGGTGGCTCAGGACCGTGCTTTATGGCGTTACTTGGGGGAGGCCTATGTTCAGCAGTGGACTTGTGAAGGGCTGTAATGATGATGATGATGATGATGATTACAATCTATATATGTTTCTACAAAAAAAATGTGTATAATAATATATTCGTCCTATACTTAAGAACCCACAGAAATGTTGCGTCTGAACATATTAATTTCATAATCTATATTCCATGACAGGAGATGGCGTCTTAGGAATAATTTGTTTTATTATTAATCTATAATACATTTTTATTGATTAAGTGTCTTATTAACCGATGTAAAGTAATTCCTTGGCTTTTACTGACATTTCTTGAATTATTTGTGCAATATCTAAGTACACACGACGGCATATTTTTATGAAGAGATTTTTTAAATCAACACAACACGTGACAACTCAACAAGCGCCTAGCGAGTGACTGATTAAAGTGCGGTGTATGCACCGCAGTTGATTGGAACAGAGTAGCTGAATGCAGTGTCGCCTCTAGTACGTAGTACATAATAGCTCAATGTTTATGTACTAAGAACATATATACAAAGAGTGGGAGATAGCACAAGATTAAATTAAACATCACGTTGTCATTTATTGCATAAAAAACCAACAAAAACACGTCACGGTGTGTTACAT